GAGAAATTTAAATAGTTTAATATCAGTATTTTTTTAATTTTTTTTATCATATCTTCATATTTATATTTTATTTAAAAATAAAAACATTACACTTTCTCAAAACCACATAAATTCATATTATAACATCGATTGAGACAAAGAAAAAACGAAACATTAGAATCGATATATATTTCACAACATTGTGCGAGTACCCTTCTAGTATATATATAATAGAATATATCGATTAACATATATTTGTTTCACATGAACTCGGTTGACAATTTGAACATCATTGGTATGCCTGTGAAACAAAAAATATATGGAAAAAAAGTTTCACATTGTGAAACGAAAACATATGAAACAATCACATTGTGAAACGAATACATGTGAAATAAATATATATTAATCGATATACTAAATACTATACTTAGGGGAAAATCATGTTAAATGAAACTTCAAGGTAAAAATTATTATGAATCTTAAAAATTTTGAAGTTCTCAAATAATTAAACCTCTCTCACACACACACACTAGTGGTGTGCCCGCACGATGCAGCACGGGTGAATCACAATTTTGAAACATTAGTTTAACCTTGAATCATGAGTTTATGTGGTTATTTTACAAGTCAACTAATATATAAAGTTGAAGGTTAATATGATGTATTAGCAAGATCGATTGAAAAAAAAAATTGCACACATGTTGAGTTTCTAAACCCATATAAAATTGCAGGGTTCGGGTGGGGTACATGCATGATCTGAAACCCTTTGTTGCTTCAAACTTCAGTTTACTTCAAGAGAAATATGAACTTTGAATTTGAATTTGGATTCAAGATAAGAAACAAACAAAATGTCAAACAACTTTGGAAGACCAAACATAACTTTTTCATGTAAATATGACTTACTTAAATCTGAAACTTTGACTAAACAAATGGTATATTTTAAGTATTTGTATATTATACATAATAGTTTGTATTTAAGAGATTTTTGAATCTTTTGCATAAATTGATAGTACCTTATGCTTTAAGATTTGTAATTAATTTTTTTGGTTTAAATACTTATTAATGTAGTATATATATATATATATATATATGTATATGTATATGTATATGTATATGTATATGTATATGTATATGTAT